CAGATTTATTTTTGTTACAAAATGTTACCTTTACAGATTTCTAGCTCTGCACACTGTAGAAAAATCTAGAAATACAGTTTTGTATATCGTAATAATATTAGTAGTTGCCAGAGAGCTCTACAAAGTAGAGAAAAATCTGTAAATTTGAAAACTATAAACATAAATTTAAATTTCTCAAAAAAGAAATTAAAAAATCTCAAAAGTCGCTACTTTTGGCTGAGGGACGTAGTGAGGTCTCCGCTACCTCACTACGTCCCTCTAAAAGTCGCCACAGTTGGGAACACTGGTGAGCAGACATCTAGGGTCTAAGTAAGGCAAAATGTAATCGCCAAACCGCACTGTAGAAAGGTAGAAAAATTTAAATTTAATAATTTCTTGTGAACAGCAGTTTGGGCCCCCCTTCCAAGTGGGCCCTGTGCGGGTGCACCTGTTGCACCTGCCTAGTTACGGCTCTGCCTACTGTACTCTATGTTTGATGTTGACATGCAGTTTTTAGACTGCAAGGCTGTAGTTTCCCAGAGGGTCTAAAAGAAAACCTGAGTGCAGCAAACACCAATAATTGAGCCACCAATTGAGTACCGCCACAAATAGGTAAGTATAGAAGTTAGTGCCAAGTGGATGTTAGTAGGAAGACTTATATCTACTTAATACTAATAAACTGAACATGAGCACGAATCTTAATACTATTAACAGCTAGACAGACAGTGTAAAAGCAAATGAGCACAATGAGCACAAACTAGACAAGATGAATGGATTGACAGAAAACAAACAAGCAAGACCCCAAATTCTTTTTTTTAAACATTAACTTACTAACTAAACTAACCTACCATAACCTAACCAGATGACTAAAGCTAACAACCCTAATTTAATTTAACCTAACCAGAAACAAAGCTAAGAGTCCCTAATCTAACTTACAACTAGAACTAACTTAAACTAACCGAATTTAGACTGAAAAGAAAACAGAAAAAAGAGATTTGAAATACAAAGTTGAAAGGTAGCTATATACCGATAGTTGAAATAAAGCAAGGGAAAGCTAATTGTCATTCATGTCCCCAGAGTGAGTGCTCTCAAGAGCACTCACTCTGGGGACATGAATGGCAATTATGAAAGCAAGTAGATCTGGATATGAAAGCAAGTAGATGATGGAACATTGTGCATGCATGAATTAGTGAATTGGTGCAGGTTGCAAGGCCAGTTGTACCCTTCAAGAATAGCAGTTCTCATTAAACTATCTATAATGTGATTGTACCTATTGCAGCAAAAAACTAAGTGAAGTGGTGTTTGGGTCTTCCTGAATACCACAATCGCATTGTGAATTGTCCCCAAGATTAAATCTATGCAAGTATTGCTTAAAGTTGCCATGTATAAAGTTATTTATCAACACAGAAAAATATGTTCCTAATTTGAACTCGTCAGCATAAATTATTTAATTAATAAACTGTTAATAAATAGCAGTTCTGCCAACATTAGAGAAAATTTTTCTAATTAATGTTGCTTTTTAAATTAAGTATAGGTAAATAAAAGTCTTTATTTTCCTATATTTTAACTGTTATAATTTTCTACTATTTTATGTACTATTATAGTTTGAATTTTAACAAGTAAATTATTGATTTAATATCTCTTTCTTTTATTTTCATAAAGGCCATCATCTAGCTGTGTTACATTTTTAAAACAAAAAGGTCCGGTAACCTGTGTATCTTGGCATCCTGATGGTTCTTTTCTTGTCTCGTCGTCCGCTGCTGATAGCAAACTGCATGTATGAAAAAATATTCAAATATATCTAGCCTTAATTTTTTAAATTTTATTAAATTTTATATTGTTAAATGATAGAAATAGCATCTACTGGAAGATGGAATTAAGCAGCAATGCTTCTTGTTCAGTTTCTGTTACATAATAGTTCCAACATTGCAAAAAGTTATACTCTGTTGAAGTGTAATTAGAATAACCAAAATAATGATTTTTACTAACTGTGAAGAACACATTAAGAAATATATATAGAAAATACAGGGTTTTCTAAAATGATTGCTACCATTTCAAATTACTGTAATTATGTTAATTATTACTCGAAAAGTATGTGATATACAGCAATCAATAGAGTAACTGTCCAAGTTTCATCTCCCATCTGCATTCAAATGTCTTGTTGTCTACTACCTCTAAGAGGTGCTGTAAATGAAAATGGCAATTCCACAACAGAGAAGGGATTTTGTGTTTTGCGATTCTAAATTGTTTTGTGTTCTTCTGGAATTGTTGATGTCACCAAAGAACATTTGTCTTACATGGTGAATCACTTTGAAAGTGTCTGAAAAATTTGTGTTTTACAATGATAAATGATTCCAACTTTGTAACTGCATACTATTCATACTACATACTATTTATTCTTCAATTATTTCCAAAATGTTTTTTAAAAAGTTATTTAAATATATAATTATTTTTGTTTTTAATCTAAACTATAAAATTTTATATTAGTAAAATATATGTACAGTACAATATCATTAATCCAACCATTTGCTAATTCAACACATCTAGTAATCAGATACTAGTCAATTCTTGATTATTAGCAGCACTGTTGCAAGCTTTCCACCAGTTCAAACTCCAGTTTTCACTAAATTTAAACATTTTCCCATTAAATGTGGCATGATATTGAGCCTGAGCTTGAACACTTGAGCTTGTGCACGATATTAAAGATTGTTAATTTGTCTTAGGCTGCTTGCAAAAGGTGTAGTGTCTCATAACATAACACTGTATAAATATAAAAATCAATTATTCAATATTTTCCACCAAAAATACTATACCTTTCACTAAATTTAGTAGAAATCCACCCACTTGGCAACATTGATTACCAGTGATGGTAATAAAGTTGGATGACAAATGACAGAAGACAACTAAAAATTATTTTTAAATGATTGATGATTAATTTGAAAACTCTAAAATACAGTAAAATATTGTTTTCTTTTCATATTTTCTTGCTATTCTTTATATGTTTTTTATTAATACAATGTACTAATATCATGCAAATAAATAAATTTTTCTTTCTGAAAGATTAAACCATTGAATTCACCTTACTTTCAATAATCCAGCATTCTCCATAATCTGACACTGGTCCCATTGTGTTTGATTACTGAGATTATAGTGTGTGTATATACAATACAGAGATGCCAACCTGTACAGAATTTTTGTAGTTTCTACTAGGGCTGGAAAGTTTGCATTCTTTTTCTACTAACTCCAACACCAATAACAATATAATACATGATAGATAAATATATTATCTATCATGAAATGGTAGATAATATATTTATATATATTATCTACCATTTCATTGCTGATATTAATTCGTTAGTCTAATTTGCTATTTAGCAATACACTGGTTGCCTAATAATAATTAAAGGATTGTGGCTATCAGTTTTTACTTAATTCTAAGGACAACAATTTACAATGCTCCATATATAACCCTGCCAAATTTCAAAAGTTTAGATTCATCCAGTCCTGCTGAGATATAATGCAAAATAGGTGACAACAAACACACAAAATTAATCTATTCTATATATTATATATTTAAATATAATATATATATATATAATTATATATATATTAACAAAGGAGAGAGAGACAAACATCCAGACAGACGAATGGCAGTGGAAATGTNTTTTTTGTCACAAAAGAAAAAAAATAGAAATGGCAGCATGAGGAATTGGTGAATCATCACAAAATTTTTGATAAGTGAGTGAACCCTTTGGATGAGTTAGCAAAGTTTTTTAGTAATAATATAATTTTATAATTTGTTTGATAATTTGAATATACTAGAACTTATTTTAGAATAAAGATGGTTTATGAATGTCTTAAAGTTAGTGATGACATCGTATCAAAAGCAGCGGTGGATGGAGGCATTGTTCCTCCTTTCATCATGACCCCTCCAATCATGATGGGATCATGATTGTTCCCCCCTCCAATCATGACATGTGATTCTGCACTACTGATGGACATTTTCTCAGTTGGTCTCTTTGTATATATATAATATACTCTTGTTAATCCAGTTTTTAATAATTTGGCCTCTCAATAATCCAACATACTCCAGCGTAATCACCTATGCACTTTGTTTTTATGAAAGTGTTAGTCATGTCAAGCATCCTGTTTTCCTGTTTAGTCTGGTTTCATTTCTGTCTGTAGTATTGTATGTTGATGTACCATATTATTTTTCTCAAATGCCTTAATAAAGAATCAGTATTGAAGAGTGACAGGTCATATTGTTCATTGCTTTTCTAGGCAGACTTTAAGCCTATAAACACTTAGTAGTCAGGTGCACTCACGCTTCTGTGCAAGAAATTAGATGCATTAATTCATGATATAAATTTTTCATTGTGATAAAATTATGAAGATAAATTTTTTGAATGTAAATTCATGTTTTATTATAAATATTTATGATAATAGGTATGGAATGTAGCCATGGAAACTAAAACTTATGTTCAACGAATGGGTGGTGGAGGTGTTACACTTTTAAAGTGGTCTATGGATGGTAAAAGACTGTTTACAGCAACTCCATCTTCATTATTTAGGTAAATAATAATTATTTATTTACATTGTTATAAACATTTTAATCAGAAGGTATACTGTAACTGAATATCATTGAAAGACATTTTTGTCAGTGATTATACCATATGAAATGATAAACATGTAAGATTTAAATACAGTATTGTATATAAGATGAAATTAGATCTTCATTATGTATATTTCAATTGTATATAAGATGAAATTAGAAATTAATATACAGAGTGTTTTAGCTCACCTGTATCACATGTTTTTCTTGAAAACCATTTGTTATAGAAGGTTGGGAAAAATTTTTTTATAGTTAAAACACATATAAAGAATTGATCAGTTACTACAGTGTACACAATATAAAATTTATACTGTACTGTCTTAAACTTAACTTTTCTGTTGAGTCATTGTGTTATCATTATCAGGTGATGGATCAATATACTTCGAAAACACATCACTATATAAAGAATGTGTTATCACAATGTAGAATGTGATAAAGTGACTTTTTAAAAATTCAGTTATAAAACATAAGACTAGTGAAACCTTGCATCTTTTTTCTTCTAACACACCAGCCATGCAACTTATTTTCCAGGGGAAAATAAGTTGCATGACTGGTGTGTTAGAAGCCTGAGGAGAGATTAAGAAAATTTCATCCAAAATGCTTTGCTGTTTATAAAGGAAAAGAATAAAATAGCTTTATTTTTTATGAAAAATCTCAGTCTCTGATTTAATATGGGTATTGGAAGAAAAAAGACATGAGGTCTTACTAGTCTTATGTTTTATAACTGAAGTTTTAATTAAATTTTATTTGCTCCATCAAACATCTTTTTTAATTGGTTTTTATTAATTTTTTAAAATGTTTTTTAAATAAAGCAACTTTTTGTTTAAATGTATGTTTGAGATCTGGAAAAATTGTTTTATTCTTTTGTTTGTTTGTTTTACTTAGTGCAATAAAATGCTAAGTTCCAAATTATAGCCTTCTTTTTGTCCTGTGAGATCTTTAATAAAATTAAAATGTATTCTTCACTGAGGGATGTATTTATTCACTATTTAAAACTTGAGAAGCAAACATTTACAAAGCAGCTCAGCAAGGAAGCCAAACTTACACAATCCTTCATATTTTCAAGCCTACATGGCACACCATCTTTAGCCTTTTTTAATTGAACAAAATGTGGAATATACTCATTTTGATAGTTTTGTACTTAAATTGTCTACTAGTGACCACTAAACTGTTTGGTGGTCACAGGTGAAAAATAAAGACTGTTTTTTCTGAGTTGTTTTCTTTGCAGAACCAGTCAGTGGTATAAGTCCTAGTAGATAATTTAAGTATAAAACTATAAGAAAAGGACACAAAGGCATAAAATTTGATACTCATTTTGAGTCTGCTCTACAACTTTACAATTGGAACTGTAATTCTATCTATACAATAGGAGCTGAGATAATTTTATTTCCTCTTTTTTTGGGATAGCGAGAAATTCACTGATGCAATGAATAAATTTCTCACTATCCCAAATCAATGAATAGCCCATGATTGATAACATAGGAAAGCAAGCAACATTTACATGATTTCTTTGTACTTAAATGTATGTATTTTAACATTGTTAAAACATTTACATGAGTTATTTTTGTTTTTTCTGAGCCATCAGCCTGGGTTGCTTTTTAGGAGACACCCTGTATACATATAGATTACATATATATCAATTATCTACATATTTCTTTATATAAACATATATATTATATGTATTCATATAAAGATATATATATATATATATTCATTATTTATAAATTTACATTTCTGTAAAATTTTGTTTAAATAAAACATCACATTTTTTACCAATATATCTGTAAATGCTTTGAATTAAAAGTTTTATCATCCGTTATATGTTTAAAAATATATTTATCTAGGTATATATTTATTTAATTTTCTGAAATATTTTGTATTTTCATTTATTATTAGAGTTTGGGAAACAACACAGAACTGGACTTGTGAGAAATGGACTAATTTGGTTGGGCATTGTAAAGCAGCTTGTTGGAGTCCAGATGGAAGTATTTTATTATTTGCTACCCTAGATGAACCTGTAATATATTTTTTGAATTTTCCTTCATCAAAATCACTTGAAAAATATGATGATTTAAGTTCAAAATCTGCCATTCCTGTCATTGATTTAACACAAATTTTAGTTAATACTGGTAATGATGAAATCAGGTAATTTAATTTTTTGTTTGATTTTTATATTTTAATAAGAGATATTTTTAAATAAAATTATTTTTACATTTTATGTATTTGTATATACTGTATTGGGATATAGCCACAAAAGTCAGTGTTTCTTTCACTAATGCTCTTCCATTTCTTGCTCTCTGCCAGCCTCCACTGCCACTCTTACTGCTTGAGACTTATTTAAAAGTAAACAGTGTTAAATAAGTCTCAAGCAGATGACCACTGGATGAAACAGAAAACAGGCACATCAGACTCAAATATTAGGCTAAATCCCATCAGCCATGTTGGTTACCCACATACAAAGATTTCTGGCCACATCCCTGATATATATAAAAATATTGTATTAATTTAATAAAACAAAATAAATTTACAGTAGAGCATCGATTATCCAACTCAATTGGGGACTGGGGTTGGTTGGATAATTGAAAAGTCAGATAACTGAAAAGTATGAAAAAATCCATTATTAGTGTAGTATATTATTATATCTCATGTAATTAGTATAGGAAGAAAGCAATGACAAACCACTTCCTCAACTCTTGCCAAGAAAACTACATGGACAAGGAATTTCATAATAGAGATATAGTGTTGGAGGATGAGAACTTCAGGTTCGAAAGCACTCTAACTTCTACTGGGGATGAACAAGGAACTTCACTGACTAAGATTGAACATAAAGGCATGATTAAATCAAAGCTGAAAGGGAGTTTAATCATTGATGCAGTCAAACACGAAAAGAAAGTTCCAAGTTTCTTCAAACAACATATTTGCAACATGGAATGTGAGAAGCATGTATGCTGGAAAACTAGACATAATTAAAAGTGAAATGACAAGAATAGGGATAGAAGTGTTAGGAGTCAGTGAGCTTAAATGGATAGGAATGGGACACTTTGATTCAAATGACTTTAGGATCTTCTATTCTGGACATGATAACTTAAGAAAAAATGGAGTGGCTCTAATTGTAAAAAAGAATTTAGTAAATTTTATTTTGGGTTATAAACCAGTTAGTGACAGAATCATAGTCTTGAGGATGCAGGGAAAACCAGTCAATCTGTCAATCATTCAAGTTTATGCTCCTACTACAGAAGCGACAGAAGAAGAAATTGAAGGGTTTTATGAAAAGCTTCAAGAAACAGTTAATAATTTACCAAAAAAAGATGCACTCTTTATTCTTGGTGACTGGAATGCAAAAGTAGGAAAAGAAGAGACTCCAGGACATGTTGGAAGATATGGTCTTGGGAAAAGAAATGATGCTGGGATACGACTAGTGGAATTCTGCATTTCAAATAACCTCTTTATTGCAAATACATATTTCCAATTACATAAACGAAGACTATATACATGGACATCACCAGATGGAAATTATAAAAATCAGATTGATTATATAATAGGTAGCAAGAGATGGAGGAATGCAATCAAATCAGCATGTACCAGACCGGGTGCTGACTGTGGGACTGATCATGAACTCCTTATATCAAAAATATCATTCCATTTGAAAGCTAAGAAAAAAGGAAGGGAAATAATGGGATGTTATGCTACAGATATCACCCCATCTTACATCTCAGAAATAAAAGAAGGTCTCAAAACAATTAATACATCAGGAAAGGAACCTGATGAAGTATGGGAGTCTTTAAAAAACACTATTAAACATACTGCTGATAAATGCATAGGAAAGAAGAAGAAGGAAAATAAGAAATCGCCTTGGCTGTCACACAAATCTTTAGAAATTGCAAACACTCGGAGACAAATGAAAATTATAGGAGATCGTCAAACAATTAAAAAATTAACTGCAGAGTTCCAAAGACAGGCTAGGAAGGATAAAGAAGAATATTTTAATAATAAATGCAAAGAAATTGAATTAAATAATGCGAAAGGACGTACAAGGGATCTCTTCAAAACAATTAAAGAGGTCGTTGGAAAATTTACCCCTAGGCTTGGTATTTTAAAGAACACACATGGAAAAGATCTAATGGAAGAAAGTGAAATAAAGAGAAGATGGAAAGAATATACAGAACAGCTTTATAAAGCAGATAATAATATAGAAGAAATAATTGAAGGAAGACATTTTACTTTGGAACCATCAATTTTGAAGGAAGAAGTGGAATGGGCAATCAACCAAATTTCAATTGGGAAAGCAGCAGGAACTGACGGAATTCCAGTGGAACTGCTCAAAGCAGCTGGAGAGGAAGGAATTAGAATACTAACAAAGCTATGCCAACAAATATGGGAAAAGAAGGTTTGGCCAAAGGAGTGGAAGCAATCCATTTTTATACCAATCCCAAAAAATGGCAATGCAAGAGAATGTTCCAACTATAGAACAATCGCACTAATTCCCCATGCAAGTAAGATTCTGTTAAAAATAATACAGAAGAGAATTGAGCCATATTTAGAAAGAGAATTGCCACTGGAACAGGCTGGATTTAGAAAGGGAAGAGGAACTCGCGATCAAATTAGCAACATCAGATGGATTCTAGAAAAGGCAAAAGAGTACCAGAAGGACGCCTTCTTTTGTTTTATAGACTATAGTAAAGCCTTCGATTGTGTGGATCACTCCAAGTTATGGAAAGTACTCAGGAGCATGGGAATTCCTGAACACCTTATATCTTTATTGATGAGTCTTTACAATGAACAAGAAGCAAAAGTAAGAACTCTATACGGAGAAACTGAATGCTTTAAAATTGAGAAAGGGGTGCGACAAGGCTGCATTTTGTCTCCATATCTGTTTAACTTATATACTGAATATATCATGAGAATGGTTACTACAAATGAAGAGTCCATTGGTATCAAGATTGGAGGCGAAACTATTAATAATATAAGATATGCAGATGATACCACCCTTTTGACAGAAAGCAAAGCAGATTTAGAAAAACTTATCATAAGGGTAAAAGAAGAAAGTGCTAAATTTGGTTTGAAGCTAAATGTAAAGAAAACTAAAGTAATGTCAACTAAAGAGTTAAAAGATTTCATTGTGGATGGTGAAAGAATTGAAGTGGTAGAAAGTTACATACTTTTGGGCTCAAAGATAGAAAGGAATGGAAGTTGTGAAGGAGAAATCAGGAGGAGAATTAATCTTGGCAGAACAGCCATGGCAAATCTCACCAAGATAATGAAAGATAAAGACATTTCCATTCATACTAAGAAAAGAATTGTAGAAGCAATGGTTTTCCCTGTAACATTATATGGCTGTGAAAGCTGGACTCTAAGGAAAAAGGAAAGAAAAATGATAGATGCATTCGAATTATGGGTATGGAGAAGATTACTTAGAGTTCCATGGACAGAAAAGAAAACAAATATCTCAATTTTAGAAAAAATTAAGCCAAGCTTCTCCTTAGAGTCAAGAATCTTAAAACAAAAATTGACCTACTTTGGACATGTGATGCGTAAAGAAGTTTCCCTAGAGAAGGCTATTATGCTGGGAAAAGTGGAAGGTAGAAGGAAGAGGGGAAGGCAACGGATAAGATGGATAGAAGAAATAGAAAATGTCACAGAAATGAAGCTGGAGGAGCTACGAGAGACAACAAGGGAAAGATCAAGATGGAGAAGACTTGTCCATGAAGTCACCAGGAGTTGACGATGACTCGATGGAACTTAACAACAAAATTAACCTACTTCGCGTTGAATTTTCCTCCATGTTAAACCTATCAAATTTATTTTAAAAATAATAATCGTCGCTATTGTATCGTTAAAAATTAGAAAATTAAGCTTTGTTTAAATACTGGTTCCCTTTCATGGTCGATCCAGTGTTGCCAGCTAAAACACACAAAAATAATATTAAAGTAGCCAAGACATAGCCAAATATTGTAGTGCTACATCACTAGCGGACATTTGAATTTGCCGACTAGAACGCGGTCGGTTAACCGAGGTGACGGTTAATCGGGGGTCGGATAATCAATGCTCTACTGTAATTACAAGTGTCCAAAAAGTTACTCTGCAGTGAGAAATCAGACATTCTGGTTCTGGGCTACAGGTTTTGGAAGACTTCTTTCCCAATTGCATAATCTCCCATGAAATCTGCCCCGCTAGGTCTCTCTCCAGACTTCTCCATTTTAGCATTTGAGGCTTCTGGGGACAATTCCAGTTTGCTATAGGAGAAACTGCAATGTTCTATGCAGTTTCTCCTGCACTGCAGTAAACAAAATAGTGATTCCTCAGCAGGGAAGGCATTTTGTGTCCTGCAGTTTGCAAAGTCAGAATCATTTATCATTGTGTAACATGAATAATCTGCAGGAGCTGTAGAATATGGCTGCTATGGGAGGAATGACAACAGATATGCTGTAAAGACAACAGATATACAAAAGAGGAATTTGAGTATTGGTTAGATGTGTACTGTATGACACAAAGTGCGTGTGTTGAGAAATTGTAATGGGTAAATGAAACTTGGACAGTTTTCCAATGTTTTAATGTACACTACATTCTTAGATAATACAATAATTTGAAATAGTAGCATTTTTTTTGGAAGACTTTGTGTGTGCATGCGTGTGCGTGTGTGTGTGTATGTATGTATAAATATACATGCCAAACTAATTTTGATTGTGAAAATTATATTAAAAATTTTAATTATTCCAACTTCCAATATTTGCTTACAATTTTTTTGTAATAGGATTGGAGGTCGCATTCAAAATATGATATGGGACAAGACAGGTGAAAGGCTAGCTGTTTCTTTCAAAGGTAAATACTACATATTAAATATACTTTATATAATATGCCCATTTTTCTTTATTAATTATACATTTCAGATAATTCTGAACTGATTGCAATATTCAGAACAAAAGTTAAGCCAATATTGGAAATTCATCCACTGTAAGTACAATGGAAAACTTATTTTTATTGTTATTTAAAACAGTTACATGTAAATTGTATTCATAGTTTCAAACAAGCATTTTTTCAAAAAAGAATTTTATAAACTTTTAAAATTTAAATTCAAAATTAATTTAAATAAAACTTGATGATATGAACAAATCTGATGAAATTTTTTTCCCTATGACTTAACAGTGATATTTTTTTCTGCTGTCAATTGAAGCTTAAAATGAAGAATGAGATGCTATTGCTTATTGGATATGATATTACAGTCAGTTCTTGATAAGGTGATCTCGTTTGTTCTAAATGAAAAGTTCACCTTATGAAATAATTCACATTATCAAAGAATAAAAAAAATTTCTTTACTTATTTAATTATAGTTTGATACTTCTCAATAAGCTCTAAATGATTAGCATTTAGTTCAATTTCATCCAATTTATTAATGGAAAACATTAGTTTTATTACATTAATAATATATCATAGATGCACAACACATTTAATAGCTTCTGAACCAGTAACTAATGGAATACATTCTGACTCAGTAACAAGATCATCATCATTATCACTACTATCACAGTCATCATATTTTTAACAAAGTCTTCAATTGTTAATTCTTTAGAGCTGTGGTTCTTAACCTGTGGTCCATGGACCACTGATGGTCCCTGAAAGCACCCGAAGTGGTCCGTGAAGTTATCCCAAAATTATTAAATAAATGATGACGAGTTGATGACAATGCGCGGTATGACAAGGTTAGAGCCAATAACGGACTGGGCTGGGGTATGGTGTGTGGTCAGGAAATATGAAATTGGAAGGCACTAGCAATAAATTTGCATTTTAAGATAAAATCAGTGCGTTTATCGCTAAAATCGACCTATGGATCAGCAAAGTCGAAAGAGAGAATTTTTCTGCGTTTGATACATTGAACCCAATTATTGATTGACAGTGTGCCGAGATTAAAGGACAAATACAAAAGAACATTACATTCCATTTGCAAAGCTTGAAAAATGAATTTAATCACTATTTCCTGACTGCAAGGACAAAGGTATTCGGAAACTGATTTGCAGTTCTTTCATAGTCAACATTTCTGAGGTGCTGGATGAAATACAAGAAGAGTTAATTGAAATGCAACATGATAGTAACTGCAAGGATACATTCGAGACAGGAATTAACCTTAAAGATTTTTGGAGCCAAAAAGCTATTGCTTTCCCTAAAATTCGAGAAATTGCTTTACAGTACCTAACTTTATTTTCAACCACATATTTATGTGAGCAAGGATTCTCAGTGCTTTTGATTATTAAAAATAAACATCGAAATCAGTTGGATGCCAGTGCCGACATGCGTTTGCTTTGAGTAGCACTGAACCAAGAATTCAGCAGTTGGTAAACAGTATGCAGTCACAAAAATTGCACTAAAATAATATAATTAATGTAACACTTTCGCAAATAATATAATATTCTTGGTTCCGAATAATTTTCAATGTGTTTAATTTATAGAACAACCGTATAAGAACCTATATTACTGCCAAACAGCTCGTAGTTCATGGCAAGACAAAAATTTTGATAAATGGTCTCTCATCACTAAAAGGTTAAGAACCACTGCTTTAGAGAAAGATAAATTACTTTCAATGCAGTCATCCAAAGTGATTTTAGAAAGTTCTAATTGTTTTTTCAATTTTTTATAATAAACTTAAAATGTCTTCATAAAAGATCATCAAAAAGCTTTGATTTTTAAAAAAATTAACAATAGCTTCATGCTTAGTTAAGAGAGAGTGGTCTGGTAAATTTCACAGTTTGAAATTGTTTTGAAACTATCAATGCCAAATTTAGAAGTTTGGCTTATCAGAACATTATATTATTCCATCTGTCCTGCAAGAACAGTTTATCTTATTGAATATTTTATGTAATAGGTTACCTTATAAAAGTAAAAGTATCTCCCATTGTAACAGGCAATTGCTGTATTACAAATAAAGTGTAATTTGGATTGAATTGAATATTTCTAACATTAAAGGTATAGCAAATGGCAAATATTATTGAAACTAGTTCATTTTATTGAGAACTGATTATAATATTTGTAGATTTCTGATATTTTAATTGTTTGTATATTTATGTAAATTTTGAGTGCATTGGATAGTTTCTGGACATGGTATACTAAACTGTGCTTGAAAAATCACATTTTATAGTTAAACAATTTTGAACCAGTGAGAAAGGAGGCTGGAGGTACAAGGCAACTACACTAGCGAATAGCATACTGTTTTGAAAACATGCTGTTTTTTCAAAATTGATGTGATCCTTCAGTGCCGCAATTTGAAGCAATCAGGCTTGAAAATACCCTGCTGACTGAGAATGATTGTTCCACACCACAAATTAATGAAAGCAATTATTCTTTATTCAAGAAAATTACAAGCAATGTCTTGTGAGAATAATGTCCATCCCCGTATAACAAATATATAACAATCCCCACTAAAATACAACAAGCATAAAAAATGATATACAAATGATAAGAAATAAATCATATAAAAATACAAAATTATCCATGAAAGTATAAAATTTTTTTACAATGTGATTTAAAGCTAAAAAAATTGAGATATAGTTTATCTTCTATTGTATTGGCAGAATTGTGATAATGGGGAAAAAAACAATTTTATTGTAACAATAAGGTGACAGCAAGAAATATAAATACACGAAAGCTGACGTGTGTTGATGGAAGGTATATGAATGTTAAAATGATGGGGAGAAAGTAGACTCTTAAAATATTTGTAATTAAAAATATAGTCAAAATAGTCAGATGCATTTGTGAGATCCGGATGCATGTTTTTTCATAAAATTTTAACAGAAATTCAAGTTATAAAACATTCATGTTGAAGGGGACCATTGATGCAATGAGCCCTTCCCCCTCTCATTGACATGAGAAAGTTTGAAATAATGGTATAACAACTGATTATTCATGTGTGAGAAGGTTGACATTTAAATGAGTTCACGGGGAGAATTTATGAACAATTGAAGGAAAGAGTAAACTATCTGCTCGAGGTAAACTAATTTTTACCACTCTAGCCATCCACTCTAGCTAGTGATGACACATTCAGAGTGCCATCACTACAGATAAACGATCACCTGATCGAATTCCCACACTTGATGGGGATGTATGTGATGGCTGAGCACCCGATCTTTGGGTTAATCAGTACCTATCTTTGACTAGTGCAAGTGATTCCCAGATCGTCTCCCTGGCTTCCCAGATATTCACCTGAAGGGTCTCTCTCCTGATCTTTGACATTGAACCCTCAACCCTGATCCATGAGTGTCCCAATGACTTTGTATAACTGGATCTAGAAACATCAAGTTGGAATGATACGAGGTACCGTACATTGGGGTAAACATTCTCTCTCAATTAGAAGTAGATAGAGTGGGAATGATTTCCTTCAAACCTTGCGAGAGCTGTGCTTATGCTTAGCCAGCAGTTGTATGTTTCATAGTAGTTGTATATTGTAATCTAGGTTTTAGATACATATTAAAGTTATTATTCAGTTAACATGTCAACTTGTCTTTCTCAGAGTAGCAGACACTCTTTCACCTCATCTGTGACCTCTCCACTCGATTTATAGCCTCCTATTCAAAACAGTCCTATTGGTCTAGTGAAGACTGCTCAAGCGTCACATCCTGTGACGCTTCACTAGACCATTGCTGAGCAAAGGGGGTGCAAATCGGTAAATCAACCCCCGGCTTCTTACATGTTTAAGCCAAAATGGGACTATATGACTTTAGGAGAGTTAGTAAATGGTAAATGCGATAGCTTGTTAAGAAGAATGAAAATCTTACCATTTTCATTTCTGGACCATTTTCATTGTTGAATTTAATTAAAAGGGAGTGTGAGGCAGATGCCCAAACTGGCAATGCATAATCTATAATTGACCGGAGGCTGGCGTGAATTATTTTTGTTTTAATGGTAACATTTATTTACAAAAGCAGGGAGTGTCCATGGGCTCACCTCTCTCAGTTATGTTAGCTGAATGAGTCATGAAGATCATAGAATTTAGAAGTTTTACATCCTCATTTACCATATGATCAATATCCTCTTTATTTGTGATATGTTGATGATGTACTTCTGACATTGGAGGTTTCCAATGAAGAGGTGCTAAGCTTTATTCAATCATTGTCTTGTCATTTTTTCCAATTATTGCATTTACTGAGGAGGAGAAGTATGCAAGGGTTGTTTTTATTTTAATTTGCCTGTAACTGATCCCTAGTGGTCTTTTTCTCCTGTGTTTTGTAAATTTGATAACTGCCTTATATCATCCCTTCTACAGCTTTCCAACCCCTCCGGTACAAAAATTCAGTCATTACCGCCCTCATATTCAAGGCTTCTTTTTATACTCTTTCACCCAATTGCTTGTGGACAAGGAGCTTTCCCTCATTAAATTAGTGGTCTACAGGGCTGGATATTCCCCAGCCAAGTTTATCCATCTTGCTCAACAGGGTCAAAAGCATGTTGTCTCCATAATTCATGTTACATCTTAAGAAGGAATTGGGTTTTGTGATATTGCTTCCTGTATCTGGATCCACTCTTGTGTATTTGCTGAGTTTCAAAAAACATGATTATATTATGATTATTGATTATTGACCATGATTATTGCCACTAGCACCCCAGCCCACATTGTGCAGGAATCTTTGCAATGGTAGAGACATTGTCACAGTTCTTGAAAAATCTGGGGTTTATGTTGTACCCTTACAAAATTCACTAACTGGATCGAAGCTTTTGTCTATTGGGGAAACTACCAGACTGATTTGCCTTCATCTTGCAAAGCATCATGAGGATGTGGTGATTAATAGATAACAGAGCTGGCTAAAAAGTAATAGTGGGTAAGTTTTGATTCACTTAAGTTGCACACTTTGTTTCTAAGATGTGGGAATTGAAGAATACTATTTATCTGGGAGTCTCTTTTTATTGCATCAATATCACTGTAACTCCCCAAGATTGACCTCCCAGAGTTGTAAACAGCACTATTTAAGCTTCTAAAATTTTATCTTGTGTATTTTGTGATAAAAAGCATCTCGTTTCATTAATAGCACTTATATTTTTTAATTTACTTTTGTATTTCTTTGGTTCAGCATAATTTTATTGGATTTATTTCATTATGTACCCTGGTTCTTCAAAATTTTGTAATGTTATATATTTCAATTACATTCCATACTTGTGTGCAAGGAACAACTTTGAAAAATGTTTTATGTTTACTGTTAGTGTTTCAATTTTCGAAACAGAATTCTGTTCTTTGTGTGAATTCTGCTGCCTGAAAAAGGAAGTTACTTGTATATACTGTTGAAAGTACTCATTTAAATTAATTTTTTTCTGTAATACTGGTAACAGTTGTATTGTTAATTCTGTAAACATCATTCCATATGTAACAACTTGATGATGGGCTTTAAAAAGGGCTGAAAACATTGGTTAGAATTTAATTAAGGATTGTTGGAATTATTAAAGTGTGTGCTGATTTTTAAAGTTATTGGACATGCTTATGTTAAAATTTATTCTAAATAGTTGTGTTCTGTTAACCTTAAATTGTTACTTTCTAACATATTAATAAATTAAATTTATTAAATAATAAATTTTATTACTAAATAATAGTATTAATAAATTACTTGAATAAATTTTTATAGTGGTTTTGTACGTGGTTTGCCAACTGAATCTGTGCAATTAATGACTTTCCATGATCATTTTTATCAAGGTGCTCTCTTAACAGTTGTATGTATTAGAATTATTTAAATTTATTTTATAGAATAATCAGTAATGAAATCTTTTATTTAGCTTATTAAATACAATTATTTCTAATTTAAATGTATGTTTATGTACTGCTGATGCATGAAAAGTAATTTTTTTCTAAATTTAGAAAATAAACTGTAATTTATAGGTATATTTTCACATTTAACATTTTATATGCCTGTAACTATATACACACATACACTGAAGAGCAATTGAATTAAGGATACCTGTCTAGTAGCATGTAGCACCACCTTTTGCCTTGATGACAGCTGCGATTTGTCTTGGCATGGACTCCACAAGACACTGGAAGCAATGGGAAGCCATACATTTCCACGAGTCCTGAATAATTTCTCACAAATCACAAAGATTATATGGAAGGTTGTCGGAGCCTCAAACATCTCTCTCAATTGCATCCCAGATCTGCTTGATTCGATTGAGGTCAGGTGACCATGATGGCCAGGAAAGCATGTGCAGGTCTGTGGAATGTTCATCCAACCATTCTAATAACATTCAGAAGTGATGGCACGGTGCATTGTCTTGTTGAAAGATAATCTCTGTAGTGGGCTGTCAAGAATGAACAAACATGAGCAGATGGTCATCAAGGATATCCTAGTAATGTTCATCTGTCAGTGACTCTGTCACACATACCAGGGGTCCCATTTCAGTTCATGTGAACAGTCTCCACACAAGAATGCCACCTCTGCCAGCTTGAAGAGTCCTCTGCTAGAAGGAAGGATCCATCACTTCATGTGGTTTATGGCGTACACGTACTCTGCCATCAGCATGTACCAAAGTGAATCTCGACTCATCACTCCAGGCAACATTTTTCCACATCTCAACGGCCCATTGGCGATGTTCCCATGCCCATGCTAATCACTGCGCCCTGTTTTGTGTGGTCAGCAGGGAAACTTTCATAGGACAATGACTCCTGTACCCCATTGAGAGGAGATGCTTTTGTATGGTGTGGCAGCTTACACCTTGCTGTGCACGAGTGTTAAATCAATAGGTGATCTGTTGCACTGCAGCCTGTCTATCCACTGTTACAATGTAGGCTAGCCACTGATGACCTCGCTCATCCACAAACTGTTGTCTGCAGCAGTTGACCCTGGCAGCAATGGTTTTACCGGAATCAACGTACTCATGGTAGACCCTTGACACAGTGGTGCGTGAAAATCCCAGTGTTTCCACTACTTCTGAAATGGAGTGAACCGTTTGTTTGGCTCTGACGATTTGTCCATGATTAAATGCACTTAGATCTTTACTCTTACCCATTTTGCTTCTGACTATTATTGATATCGTTAGCAGCACTCCTTATCTTGTCAAACTGCTGCTTACCTCATCTGCAAATCACTTTTATGTTTACACACAACTCAAAATTTGCATAACGCCAGCTATTCCTAATTCAATTGCTCTTCAGTGTATAACAGGATGTTCTAGATAGAAAAAAGAGACTATTTTAAGCAAAAGTCCAAGAATCTGGTTATTCCTCATATCTAGATGGCCTGAGGTTTCAATTAATTTGGAACCTCTGGCCATCTAGAATATGAGGATTAACCAGAATTAAATTGGAGTTTTACTGTATTTATAGAATTGCATTCTAATATGTTAAACATCTTTTTATGAATAATGCATTGTTAGATCTATAAATTATCATATGTAACTGTATATGGGTTGTGTATCTGCAACAGTATCTATCAACATGTATCTACTTCAGTAGTCAGTCACAGAGGTGGGTGGCTTCTGCAGAAAAATGTACTTGGTTACATTTTCATTTTTTAGAATCTTTCTTCCCACCAGTGGATCTGTTCTATCAGTCTCATATAATTGCAATTAAGATGACCCCAGAAGTTCCATTGCCATCCGTTTGATTTTTGACTTCTCAAGCTCAGTATTAAGTTCACTGAATGTTTACATGATGCTTGCTCATCTTTGTAGATGCTATGTCTAAATTTGAAATCACAGTGACTTATATCTCTAAAATCCTGTTGGCTGCATCAAATGTTGTAACACCACAATTATTAAGTTTGTAAATGAAGGTTTAAACATGGTTAAAATACAAGATGCTAGCTTTATTTTACCTTTGAAATCATTTGAGATATATACCCTGATAAGTTGGACTAGACACAACTCATTTTCCAAAGAATCTTCCTGTTGAAAACAAAGTCCCTTTTTTTCCTCTCTAGAGATGCTCTGTTCAGTCCTAACAGAGACTTTTAGGATAAACCTATCATTGAGATTTAATCTCTTATGATATATAATATATTACAATAAAAGATTATACAACACATTTATATATATATATATAAAATGGTACTTTGACTAATGAGTTTTTAAGATATGAGCCATCTCTCAGCCAATTTTTTGCTGAGTTCAGAACCAAAATTCAGATTATGAGCCAGCTTCAGATATCCCACTGCTAGTTGGTGCAGTGAACACCACAGTAAACCATAGATTAAGAAAAAGATGGGAAAACTGCCTTAAGGTATGTAGCATACCAATGTTTGAGGCAGTGCCACTAGTGAGAAGGGAGAGAAGTGTACACGACACTTTTGCACCTGTGCAGAAACTGAGCGAAATTATAGTGCTTTTCTTTCAATGGATGTTTGAATGAATAAACAGTAATTATCAAGTTAATATTGTTGCCTATGCCCGAATTTGGCAAGTAATTTTGATGAACTGAAGATAAACACGTAGCGCACAACTTTATTTAAAACTTCCAAAGTTTTTATATTTTTAAATACTGTACTGTACATATGCACAGTATTATATTATGCTTACTACTGTATATGATTTTCTAAATGTTTTTAAGCTGTATTGTATGTTTTACATACAATACATTTATTTTTATATTCAATAAAACATATACTGTATACTATATATTCATCCATATGTGTATATATTATTAGGCTTAGCTCTGTTATTGATAGACATTGCAAATTTGATATAAGGAAACAGATTTTTAGTAAAAATCATTGTTTTTATAGGTAATTGTAGTTGTTTTTGCTTATTAGTTTTTAAGAGTAATTTTCTGGATTATTTATACTAAAAATCCCTAAAAATCTCTTCTGGATATTTATCCTGAAAAAAAAAAATGGAATAAAGATAATAGAGTAACTATCGCATGCAATACAATATGCAAGTCATATTAAAACAAAAGTATTCTACTAAACAGTATTGTGATGACAAACTTAATGGTTATAACCATTTTTCAGAAAAGCGAAGCCTGACAAAATGCAGTTTCTTAGTACAGTATTGTTTGAACAAAGTAGCACTTTACAGTGTTGTGGAAATTTTTCCATGTTTAACCATTTGTCATTTTCATTACTCTTTCAATGGTGGCTAGCTTATAGAAAATTGTGATCGAATGATGTAGGCATTAGTTCATTTCCATGTTGTGTGCAGTGCTAATGTGTCTCATTTCTCGAGTTTTCTATCTTTTTTTTCTTAATCTATGCAGTGATACCACAAAATCCACAAAACTTTTGCAAGACTTCGTTTTTCCAACCATGGGTCTGAAGAAAGTGAATGTGAAGAGCAGTGTTGAGAAATGGATGATGGGCATTGAATTAAAGAAAAAAATTATCGAAAAACATGACCAAGGTGAGCATATAGTCAACTTGGCAAAGTAGTACAAGTGTAGAACTTCTACAATCTCCACCATACAGAAGCAGGAGTCAATAAAGGCTATAATGCCAGCCAAGGACATTAAAATAATTTCTAACAGTGGACATCTTTCTATGAAAGTGTGGAGAAGTTACTGATGGTGTGGTTGACGGAGAAGCAGCTTGCAGGAGATACCACAATGGATGCTATAATCTGTGAGAAGGCATAAGCTATTTAAGCTGATGCCCAGCACTTTGACAGATGAGGCATACGGTGAGCTGTTTAAAGTCAGTCGGGGATGGTTTGAAAATTTTAAAAAGAGGACCAGCATTCACTCCGTTGCTAGGCATGGTGAGGCAGTGAGCATGGATATGAAGGTTAGTTTAGGATTACCTCAAAACTTTTGTTGGAATTATAGCAGCCGAATGATATATGTCCCAGCAAGTCTTCAAGGTAGGACTCTTCTGGAAGAAGATGCCAAGGAGAACTTATATAATGGCAGAGAAGAGAATGCCAGGCTACAAACCCATGAAGGATAGGCTAACCCTCACACTGTGCAAAAATGCAAGCAGTGACTGCAAGATTAAGCCACTGCTTGTTTATTATTTGGAAAACTCTAGAGCCTTTAAATCACATAAGATTCTGAAAGAAAAACTGCAGGTTATGTGGAGGACAAACCTGAGGGTGTGGGTCACTAGGCAGTTCTTTGTGAAGTGGATGAATTTGTTCTTTGATCCTGACATTAAGAAATATCTCCAGGAAAATAATCTACTCCCTCATCCTGGACAATGCACCTGCTCATCCATCTAATCTGGAAGATGACATCTTTGAAGAGTTCGAGTTTATAAAGGTTCTCTACCTTCCACCCAACACCACCCTTATCCTGCAGCCCATGGATCAGCAGACGATTTCTAATTTCAAGAAGCTTTTCACTAAGCACCTGTTCTGCCACTACTTTTAGGTGATGGAGAGCACAAACCTCACGCTTTGAGAGTTCTGGAAGGACCACTATAACATTATGATATGCCTCAGAATTATCGATATGGCCTGGCAGGGTGTACAAAGAGGACCTTGACCTCTGTGTAGAAGCTGTAGCCAGAGGTTGTGTCTGAAACAGACTTTGAAAGACTCAAACCTGAAGCAGCAGTGGTGGAGGAGATTGTATCCCTCAGCAAATCCATGAGCCTGGCCCTGGATGAAGACGACATCAACGAGCTCATCAAGGAAGCATTGAAGAACTGACAACGGAGGAGCTAAAGGTGTTACATATGCAGCAGCACACAGAGGTTTTTCAGGAAATAGGTGATGCAGGGGAGGGTATCGCTACAAGTGAGATAAAGGAAATGTTGGGAATGTGGGAGAAACTTTCAGACTTTATTCAAAAGAAACATCCAGAAAAGTTTGCAATTGGGCATGCGACTGTTATTTAATGACACTTGCCTAACTCATTTCAGAAACATTCTGACATTTATTTTTGTTTATGCAGTGGATAGTAAACAAACAAACGTAAAGAATTTTATAAAATAATTTAATTTTTTAATAAATAACAGAGTAAAATTATTTTGTCTATGAATTAACTTTAATTGTATATATTTTGAAGTTTGATATAAAACAAACTTTTTTGTACTTATAATATTATTATTTATGTATGTGAAACTTGCATAATTTATTTTTGTATTTTCAGTGTTGGAGTAGTGGAAGAATTGTCAATATACCATTTTTCTTTGTATCTGTTGATTTAGACTTAGTAAACAAAGTTCCAGAATATGAGAAAAATCTTTCAACAAATGAAATTGGTTTAATGCAAAGAAAACATACAATTTACTCTTCTTCTTCATTAGAAAATGAGTAAGTTTTATTTATTTATTTTTATTATAAACAGTTGTGAATATGTAAAATATTTACTCAATTAAGTGAAAGGATTTATAGTTATAGTTATTAATAGGAACAAATCATTAAGTTTTTTTAATTGATTATTGTTAACAAATGAGTTTTCAATTTTTAAAGAATGTGTTACAGTGATACCTTGGTTTTCGTTGATAATCCATCTGAAACAATAGGTGAAATCCGAAACCGACAAAAACCAAGACAGTTATTTCCATATAAATCAATGTAAATCCAGTTAATTCATTCTAGACACTCCAAAATGCATACCAAAAACACATTTTATAGAGAATAAATAGTGTGTTTAATACTGAAAATGATAAGAAATTAATATAAAATGAATATAAAAGACTAATGTAAAGAATAAATGAACATTTAACATGACATTCGAATGGCTGCTGGCTGTGGAAACTTTCATTGGTCCCATGATGAAGTTAAAAGGGAAGGAAACAATGGAATTGTTTGGCTTTTTTTAAACTCTCTCTGCCCTGTGGGCACTAAGAGGGCCTCTTTTAGCAAGTGTGTTATGGGTTCTGTCAGGTCCAGAATGGGGCAGCAGCTGGGGGGTGAGTGATGGGGCCTGACATATCCGGATGGACCACTCAAAAAATTCCTGGGGATTTTTTGACCCATGTGCATTAGATCCCAGGTCCCCTAGAGCAGTCAGCTGTCATAGAGGAGTTGTTTGACTTAATGCGAGGGGAGGTACACAATCAATCAATTTATTTATTCGTACCAAATAAGTTGTACATGCCCAGGTCCCGCTGTAGGCATTACCAGGGAGGAAGAACATCAAAATTAGCAGTAGTATACAAGATAAATACATCGAAACTGAAAGACATTATACATAGGATTTTTTTTTTTACAATCGAGAGGGCAAGCTTAACAACAAAAGAGAAAAACAAATTGAATTAAGGAACGCGACATATCTTGTCACGTGTAGAACATACAGGGAGGACAAACAGACATGTTTACTGTAACATTAAAATACAGATAAATTAATTTTATTGAGACAATCTTAACACGTGTAGGAGTGAACAATACACATGTGAGAAACAAGCAAATGGAAATGTCCAAGTACAAGAAGAGTTAAATGTTAATAATCTTGTGCGTGACAAAGTTGATTTGTCTTGCCAGTTTCCTGAAGGCGTAGAACATCTCTTTAGTGCACCAGATATCCGAAGGGTGACAGGGTCACATAACACCAAGTTCTTGTATGAGGAGTTGCAGTTCGAGACGATCACGGTCTAAGATGACACAATCAAATAGAGAATGTAAGGCACCGTCTTCTGTGTCACAAATTGGGCACTGCTCAGAAGATCTGTTTGTGAAACGAGCAAGATAGCTCATGTATTTTCCATGGTTACTAAAGATTTGCGATGTACAGTAGTCTGGAGTATGCCAATTTATTTTTAAAAATTGTCTAAGATCTGGGATAAACTTGTAGGTGATATGTTCAGAGTTATAATTCCAAGTGTTTTTTCAAAGTTCTATTGTGTCATTCCAGAGAAGGTGGCGTAACGATCGCTGGCTGATCTTGTTGTAGGTGATCTGTAAAGAACCGTTCAAGGCTGCATCCTCAGCCAGGGAGTCTGCACTCTCGTTTCCAGTGTCTCCCTGGTGAGCCCTTATCCATGTGATGGTAAAGGTGCATTCAGAAGGTTGTGTTGCGTTTTTAATGTATTCAGCCAGAGGATGTAACTTGTTGCTCTGCAGCAGATCTAGAGCTGACCGAGAATCAGTATGTATGTGCACATGAATATTACTGTGGATGTGATTAATTAATTAATTAATTAATGTAGTCAATGGCCATCCCTATAGCATATAGCTCGGCTTGAAACACGGTGCACCTGCTGTCAAGTCTGTACATTTGGTGGTGGACCTCAATATTATTTATATAAGCGACAAAACTAGTGTTGTAACGAATAGTATATTCGGCCTCAGGCCGAATACCGAATATCCGGCCAGGAGCGTGGTCGAATAGCCGAATATTCAGCCAAACTATTCGGCTCGATTAACGCACGTACGAAAATTGGCGCGCAAACCGCATTATGGCAAGGATCCTGCTCTCTATTGGCCCGCTGTCACTACGCTTCGCCAATCGCGTTAATTCTTGGCAGTTGTAGCGGACAGACAAGAGTGTCATGGAAGTATG